AATTTTTCGGTGGTGGTTTTGTTGATCCCAGCACACTTGTAGCTCAGATGGCCAGTAGTGGTAAACTTGCCAGAATCTATGTGACCAGTGAAAAAGCTACAGGTTTCTTTGATTCACTTGCTGAGAGAATATGATTTAAGATACCAGAATCATTTTCTTTTTTTCTCATCAGCTAAAACTCATGTTTTGGCTATGGGCACGTTTTCATGGTAGAATTAAACCAATTTAAAACAAATATTCTCTGATAATATTTGGAAAGTGGAGGAAGTCTACCCTTACATAAATAACTAGAACCAATCAGTATATAATCAAAAATAAGTTTCTAAGCTCATGGACTTTAAACCTATCAAATATACATCATTGTAGTATATTAGTTTAGTTTTCTGATCTTTTTAGAGTTTAACAGTTGTATTGTTCATTATAACATCTGGACAACTACTGTAATTGCATTTAGAAGCAGAATACCCATTGTTTTATTATTAATAATAATAGACAAAAACCCAGTGGTATTAGATTTAGGTTTAAAACTAAGCACATTCACAAATCATTTGAAGTTCTTTCTTAATGTTTTCTCTTAGAGTAGAAATAACTTTATGAACTATATGTCTTGTTCAATGTTCATTGTATGTGTAGCTTAATGGACTCTCCCACAAAACTCCCCTTGGAAACAAAACTGTATTCTTATAGTTTAAATGTGTTATGGTGGCATAATAACAATTATATGAAATGACCTGGATCTTTATGTTTGAAAAGTAACTTAAAAGTCAGTTTTTTGAGGTACTACTTTGAAAGTAAGTTGTGGACTGATGCTTCTCATAGTTCCAAGGAGGAACATAAAATCCTGCTTCATCAGATAAGTCTCTAGGGAATGCATGTTCGTTCTGCTTTGTGATATGCCTTTTTTTTTTTTTAAGATTTTATTTATTTATTTTTAGAAAGATGGGAAGAGAGGGAGAAAGAGAGGGAGAGAAGCATCAATGTGTTGTTGCCTCTTGCACACCCCCACACTGGGGACCTGGCCCAAAACCCAGGCATGTGCTCCAACTGGGAATCGAACTGATGACCATTTGGTTCTGAGGCTGGCATTCAATCCACTGAGCCACACCAGCCAGGGCTGTGATGTGCTTCTCATTACTATGTCCTGTTTCCTGACTTTCCATTAAATGTTTAGAAAAATTAGTTCAGTAGTTTTTCAGGAAAATGGAAGAATCTCATTAGCCAATATCAGCTGTAAGAAAGTAGGAACATACATGAAATACCTAAATTTTTCTTATTTGACTTTAAACTACATGATTTTCCAATTTGATATGTATGTGTTGTTGCACAGTGGGCCATACCCAACTTTATGTCACAGAACACCGGAATAAAAATTCTTTCAAAATTGCTCTTACAAAGAAATCTGAGCCTAGAATTACCTTGAATTAAAAAACAAAAGCCAAATGATACCTTTTAAAATAAATCAAATGAGATTGTGTGGTCTTTATGCTTGACTTTATTTTTGAGGTACGTATGCCTTGATTCCATTAATTTATCTACTTCTACTGGTAACCTTTTGGTAGCTGACTGAGAGGCTACTTTTCTATAGTAGCACTGCTTGGAAAGCATGTTCATTTTGGAGGAAATTTTAAACCATTTTCCTAGCTCTTGACTGTAGCCTCAGGAACTGGCAATTAGTGCCTAGGTCTCTGCTCCCCAGCAGGGGGCAGCACTGGGCTTGCCTTTCCTTGAGGCATGACTGACTGTGGTCTCCATCCTCGTTCCTCATACAGCACTTCCACTTAGTTTTGGTATTTCCTTTTTTTTTTTTTTTAAAGGTTTAGAAAGTATCCAATAAATAGTAGCTGTTCAGGTTCTGTAATATAAGGGATATTACTTGTCACTGTTGACTTTTATGTGTTACCAGAATATTGTCTTCAATGATTTGGTTTATTATTTCAAATATTTACCTTGTGTTTATTATAACTTGGAAAATCTTAAGAGGAAAACAGAAACCTCACTGAGCACTGTGAAGTGTCAGGCATGCAACTAGGTACTTCTCATATGCTACTTCATAACCTAGGGAAACAAATAGGCAAGGCAATAATAGTGTTAGAAAAAATTAGGAAGATACCACAGCAGAATTTTAAATACTTTTATTTTGCTATTGAGTAATCAGAGGCTAGCAGTGGTTAAATCATAGTAGAGCATAAGTTCCCTTCAGAAGGAATTCCAAATTCCATGCTGCATCACTTATGTTACCAGCCCCGCCATAAAAACAACAAAAAGATTTGTTGAGAGTGACCAAACCACAGTGTGGAACACCTGAGACCCAGTTCAGTGATGTAACTCCTGTGACGTGGTGACAGGAGAATTTATGGTTGATGCACTTGAAACTTGAATCAGGAAATGGGGCTAAGTGTTGAGTGATATTGACATACACATACATATTGATCTATCTTACATTCACCAAAACATAGGAATATTGCAGTACAATTAATTTTTCAAAACCTATCACTAATGTTTTATTTATCTTAAAACAGATAATGGATCATATTTCATTTTTACATACCTTCTCCCACCTGCTAGAAAATTTTCAGGATCTCTGTTTCCTGCAGTTTCAAGAAGATAATAATACATTTGTTTTGTTTAGTTATAGAAAACAGACAAATACAGAATTCATTTTGCCTGAGTCTGTGATTTTTATGACTTGAAATTGTTATTCCACAGTGTCTGTTTCCTTTTCTGGTTATAATGGCTTAGCAAGCCAGATGGCTAATATATAAACAATTTGGGATATGCTTATTTGAATCATTTAGTATAGCCTAGGAGGTTCCTGGTACCCAAGACCATCTGTTTATTCCTCTGGGTGTTACCTTCGTGCTGAGGTGTGTTTTCAGCTTCTTCACATCTTAGCCTTTTCCTTCTATATGAATATGGAAGAGGCTTCTTAGACCAAACTTCGCCCATTATGCCTCTTGAAGTCCTGTTGTAAAAATGTATTCCCAGCCTGCCTTCCATTTCATTGTTTTTATTTATTCCTATTTTTCTTGTTACTGCTATCCTCAACAGTGATGCTTCAAAATTGCTGAAGAGTGACTAAGGACTTGGGCTTTGTTGGAACCTTTCTTGGCTATGTATGTATCTATTTTGACCCCTGGCAAGTTTCCTCACCTGTGAAATGGAATATAATACCTCCCTCATGTATTTGTAAAATGATTAAATGAGATAAAATAGAAGTCATTTAGCACCATGCCTGCTATATCATAGATACTGGTCACTATTTTAGAAAGAAAATTTTCATAGTTACAAAAAGACATAGAAGTAAATGCAATTACCATACATAGAAACTTCATCCAAGAGTCTTTTGGAAGGAGTATCTGATTTTCATCAAATACCTGATTGTGTGAAAGCACACACCACAATAAAATACATGAAGGCGGTACTACATAACGGGTTTAGGGTTCACTTTCAGTCCTTCTAACTGGATTCAGGGTGAAACTTTGTACCACAAGTAGCTGGAGGAAAGTTTCTCCTGGCACCTGTCTGGGTTCTCTTCTGTTGCCCTGGACTACCTGTTACCCTGCGGTCTGCTTTGGAACATCACAGTCATGCCCATCATTGTTTTCCATGTCAAGTTCCCCAGGGAGAGAAACCAGCAACTGTCACTTTCCATCTTAGCTCCTGTGGTGGGTCCTACCTGTAATCTCCACAGTTCCCTCTGGGCTAGGTAATTATTTCTTCCTAATTTTCCGTGGATTACTGTTTCTGAATCAAAAATCATCAAATGTAGTTTTAAAATTATGAGTATGCTTGGGGACTGCAAAGAAGAATGTGATCACTGGAACAGAACATGATTAATCTGAATTGTTTTGAAACTTTAGGGCACATGGTTTCTATAGTTATTGTGTCATACTGTGGTATATAATGAAGAGAGATACGCATTGTGGAGAATTAATTAGGTACATTGATCTGCAGTCTGCCAATGAGATTCAAGTATTTTTCTAAGAGTGTATGAGTGTATTTGTGTTTGTGTACAGCTTCTGTATGAAGAAGGAAACTGATGCAGAACAAAGACATGCTGTGTTTTGATGGTTGTCCAAAGAAACAGTAATCATACATAAATCATTTTTATATGAACCAGTTCAGTGAGACCAAACATCTTTGCGTGGCCCAAACATCTTATTTCCAGTCGCTTTGAAGGAGGTTTTAACACAAATTAATGGAAGGAAAAATTTAAATCTCTTTAATATACTTTAGTAAGCAAAGTGCTAAAATTTCAAACCGTTTCATTTGGTTAGCGGATAGACTTATAAAGCTGAATCAGAGTCTTCCATATCCTTGAATAATCCTCCATGATTTTTATTACACATTTTATATACTTACATATAGTATGTTAATTCCACAGAATTTACAGTAATTGTTTTCAAATTAAGGAAATACTACATATAAAATAACAAATTTGTTTGTTAATTCCATAAAATAGTAACTTACCACAGAAGAAGATAATTCTTCACTTTACTCTTTCTCCTTATTTTAGTGCCATTTAATTACAAAAATAATACTGTGTCGTAAAAACTTTAACAATACTTATAAAGTACAAAATAGAGTCTTTTCTTACCTCCTGCCATTCCCAGTATGGTAATTGCATATAAAATTTGAAAAATACAGGAAACAGAAAATATACCATCACTAATTTCAAGTTGCAGAGTTTACTGTGAACCCCTTGCTATGACTTTGTCATGCCTTACATTTATGTTTGTAGAACAGCTTGTCTGGTATAATCTGGTTTGACTTAAACAGTGGACATGTGTGTAAGCATTCAATACATACACATATTTTAAGTAAAACTGGGGTCATGTCAAACATGCTATTTGTTACCCGCTTTTTTTAACCTGCTTTTTTCACATTACAATAGAGTTATTTTAATGCCCTTGGATGGAATCGTATTTTAAGTTGAAATGTTTCATCTCTGTGAAAAAAGGTATCTTCTTGAAGTTAACCACCTGTATTCTTACCCGCAGGAAGAATGCTTCCTGAACCTGGAGGCTCCTATATCAAGAGTATGTGGGTATGACACACCGTTTCCTCACATTTTTGAGCCATTCTACATCCCAGACAAATGGAAGTGCTATGACGCCCTTCGAAAGATGATCAACTATTGACCACATAGGTAAGTCTGCCCTGCGTTTTGAGAAAGCCAGCATGTGTCCCTGACAGTAATGTTCTGATACTCAAGCAGCAGCGGTCATCAGTGTGTTGTATTTTTGTAAATGGCAACTTCTAGGAAAAAAAATGTGAATTTCAGAAAAAAACTTAAATTTATAGTAAATTTGCATTTAATAGGAACACAGTAAGCATATGTGTTATTTCATTTCTCATAAATAGATGCATGCATTTGTTAACATTGAATAATCACTAGATTAGGATCTTCTCTGTGGTGGTTTAATTGCAAATACACCCTACCCCATTGTTCCAACTTTTACTCTGATTTCTGTATATTTTTATCAGCTATTTAAAATATTCATGAATAGGGGTAATTTCAGTTATTTAAAAATGGCCCTTCAATTTGGGCCCCAGTGATTTTGACTCAATGATTCATACGTAATATTCTGATATTTGCCTTTATGTTATCTGAAAAAATAGATTTGTTGAACAGGAAACCTATTAATTATGTATTAGGGAAATTTTTACTTAGAAAAACCTAAAATATCCAGCACCAGCACCATTTCAAGAATCTATTTGGCAAGTGAATGTTTTTAAATTGTGGATAATAAATGACATTTATTCATTACAATTTTCTAAGCGATTCCTGTAAGCCCCTCAGCAGTGTTGGTCGAGCAACAATAAACACCGTTAAACACTGCTACGTTAGTTTTTAGGGCTATAATACTATAGAAGTTACTATCACTCACACACTGATTTATTTTGTTTTTGGCATTTTTGAAATGATTCAAAGTGCATAAGGGATTCAATGCTGTGTAATAGTATAGCCCATACTTTTTAAAGTTAAGAAATACTGTAATTGAACGTGGAAGGTGTGGGGTGGGTAGGGCAGGGGAAAGCAATGGGGGAAAAATGTGGACAACTGTAATTGAACAACAATAAAAAAATGAAAAAAGAAATACTATATTCTTTTATTCTGTGAATGGATAGTAAAGATAGCTCACCTAAAACCAGACAGAGACCTTTAAATGTGTGCAGATAGAGAAAATAATGCTCCCTTCTGCTCCTCTGATCTCCACACCATACGTTTTGTCATTCTGTTCTGAGAGTGCTGTTAAGTGAGGGCTGTTGCCCACACAGCCCTGGTATTCTCTCAGACACGCAGAGGTAGGTGCTTTGTTTCTGACGTCCTCTGATGTCTGTGAAAGCAACCAGCCTCTACAGTAAAGTCACGCTCAAGACTGACTGGGGGACTTCCTCATTTTGTTGTCCATCTTTTTCCCTTCTGTGGACCCTCATAATGGAGAGTCAAAGTAGTAACATGCAGCCATATGGCTTGCTGCTATTTTGAAAGTAATATTTAGGTGCAGGTTTTACATTTGGATATGTATTTTTTTAAACGAAAAAAAATTGAGCCTGTTATGAAAATATGGTAAAACATGCATAGGTTTTCTATACGAAAAGTTAAAATGGCATTAAAGAATGTAGTCATACAATTAAGAAAAATCTATATTTAATCCACAGTGGCCAGAATGTCTATAATTATTGTTGATTTCTTTTACAGAAAAACTGGAAGATCATGACTAGATACAGAAATATTTTTCTGAATTTTTTATACTGTCTCAGATTTATCTCTTTGTGAAAATAAGAGTTTTTATGAAATGAATCACAATGGATACTGACTGGCTGAAAATTATAAATTAGTTATTGTATTAACACACATGAATTGATTTCCATTAAAGGTGTTTCAGATTAACTTTTTAAAGTGTTCCATGTGGTAGTCTTATAAATTCCATTTAATTACATCTGTAAATACTGGGCGTGGGATACTATTTTAAAAAGCAAAATCAGATTGTCTTCAGGTTGTGTGTCTTTTTTCCATTACTAAAAAGAAGTATTATTGCAGATGAAGGGAACCAAATTTCTGCCACGCTGAAGCTGCTCACTTGAGATATTATTGATTTTAAGGTGTTTATTAAGAAACAAGACTCGGGGTGGTGGGGGGTGGGAGGGCTTTGACCCTCCCCACCCGCCTTCCCCCTGCCCAAGAGATTCAGACAGATAGCAGCTTCAGGAAGGAGATCTTGGGCTGTTCACCTTAACCTGATTGGAATTGATATGATAAACAAGAGGGCTTCATGCAGGTGCCTGTTACCTAGATACCTCTTTTGTCCCATTGTTGCCCAGCAAGGATTTTCCTGCCACGTGTGTTTCCCTCTTCCTCAACTACTTGCAAATCGCCAGTTCTCACTTCTGAAATCTAAGACTCTGTTCCCACCTCTTCTCCTTTGTCCAAAAATGTCTTACATACCCAGTGTTGCCTCACTGTCTTTGGACTTTTCACGCCTATGTGAATTCCCCGTGCACATGTATTAAAACTTTGACTTTTCTCCTGTTAAACTGTTTCTGTTAATTTGATTATTAGCCCAGCCAGAAGAACTCAGAAAGTATTAATATTTTCTAGCTCCCCTCTGACTAGTTGTTAACTTGTTCATTAGATCTGAGTAAAATGAAATGTTGAGAAATGCTGAATTTTCAACTTTATTGTATTTGGTTTAGTTCTTTAAGGCTAAGATGATTGGTTGTATGTTGGCAAAACTTCTGGAATGCTTTTTCTCATTCTCCCCTCTTGCTTCAACAGGGTGTACTGATGGGTGTACTCACTTTTTCCCAGCGCGTGGTAGCAGGATCAAACTTGCTGCCTCTCTTCATGGACAGCATGGGCTTGTCTTTAGTTATAAAAGTGCCAAGCTTATGCTGTAGTTGTATTTTTCTGCCATGATGTTACAAAGCAAGTATTTTTTTTTCTGTATTCTTTATATTATTATATAGCTAAAAAGAAAAACATTAGCAGCAACAAAAGGCTCAAAAAGGAGGAAGCCTTCTTGCTGGGAAGGTTGCCAGGGCCTCTTGCTTCTTAATTCGCCTCTTCAGCCCTCCGCCATGGTTTCAGACAGGCCCGCCCTGCCAAGGAGTCTCTGTGCAGAGCCCCTCAGCGCTGGCCCTGCCCTCCGGGCTGCTGCTCTTAGGTCCGCCCCACTCCCGTGGATCCAGAAGCGATTCTTCTCAGGTCCAGCAGGCAGCGCTGCCTCCACCCTCCCCCAAAAGCAGAGAAACAGGGTCATAGAGTATTTTCCTTTCTATATAAACACTGTAAAAAGTGGACATTTTCTTAAGATTACAAATGTATATGTCACATTAAAACTACAATTAAAAATGTGTCCTGTTTATTTTTATCGGGTATTTGGAGGAGGACAGAGAAAGTAACATTTGTAGAGTGCCAGAAATGGCACGGTAAAGGAAAAGCACTTAATCACAGATTCTGGATAACAGTAGCCTGAAAAGGAGAACCCAAGCATTTGTTAGGAGTAAAAATATAGCTCTGTCCTTGGTTTAAAAATAGAAACACCTGTAAGTATAGGATGGGAAAAGATTATTTGTCAGCCCCAAGTTTGGGAAAGATTTCAGGAATCCACTTGGCTTACTGTACAGGACTTTCTGAGTTAAGTCGCCAAAACTCAGTATGGACTTTGGCTTTTGCTTTGTTCTCCACCAAAGGCTACAGACATCCTTGCTGGGAACTCAGCACTCAACGTGGTCCGCCCAGCAGAGCAATGTGCGGTAGTCAACCACGTTTTGGCCTACAGTGGGTTCTATTTGAACATGCTTGTTTTAGTTGAACTCATTTTTTTTGTTGATATTATTTATTATTTTAGTTGAAGTTATTTAAGTTATATTACCATTGGTAACATTTTAGTACTATTTTTTCTACTCATTTGGTATAGTAAAATTTTCCCATAGGTATTTTAATTTCATTTTAACTTTGATTTTGAAATAGCAAGCATCGGGACAGCTCTGGGGATAACCTATGCACTAATTACCTGAGTTTGAACATTTTTCTCCCTTCCGTTAGCCCTGCCATCCCCATCAGTAAGTTCCCCCTTCTCTTCCAAAATAAGTGGCTTACAGTTAATACTAATTCAGTCTATAGCACAAGATGTACGTATACACCTAGGTAATTGTCTTCAGTACATTTATTTACTTAAAACACTTGTATATGGTGGAAATATGAAAATAGTGATGAAAAAGACACATAAGGGTGTTAGATGAGTCAGAATCCCCCATCACTCAGCCTCAGCATAAGTCTGCTCCCTGCAACAACATGGATATGTCAGGGAATACAACCTTCAGTGGTTCAGTTTCTAAACTGATAGATATTATCCAAGCAGAGTGAACAGACCTGTGTACATCAGAGAAAGAAAAGAGGCAGAAGGTCCAGAAATGACCTCAATCCAATCCATTAGGTTTAAGTCACATATTCTACCAACTCTTGGTAAGAAACCCATAGACAACCCGTTCGGTTAGTGAAATCCCTTTCCCATCAGCTTGCCTGTGGTGGACATGTGTGGTTTCTGGCTGCCTGGCATCCCTGCCCCCATCTTCTAGTAACAGCACTGCTGCTTGTTTAGAGAACCCCCTCGCCCTACCGCATGTGGCTCTGGAGCTGCTGCCAATCCCGGTGCCGACCAGCACCAGCCACAGAGATGGCCCCGGCCCAGGCCTTGCTGGGGACCTCAGAATAGAAGGTCAGGTTGCCAGTGCAGAAACAGAACATGAACTCAGCCTTGTCGACCACACTAAGTTTGAAAAGACTGGTTCTCTAATTTTTAGCTGTTCGAAGCATACCTGAGAATACAACTGATAGGTGTTAACCAGCTAGCCCCACAACATTACCTGTAGCAGAAATGCTTTGCAGTCAGGAACATGACCCCAGAGCTGACGGGTCGGAATTTCCAGAGAGATGTGAGGTTTGGAAACTCTCATATGCTTCCTGACTCCATCTAGTTTGGAAAGAAATAGAAAATATTCATATATGGGCAAAGATTTGAAACCCTGATATTTGATATCTCCTTCAATATGGTAATTAAAAATACTTGCCAGGAAAATGAGAAAAAATATTAGAACAAGAATGAGGAAATCACAGCTGGAATGGGCCGGAGGTAAGAATGGAAACAAAAAGGTACATCTAAATAATTGTAAGTACACTTTTTGTGTAAAATTAATGCTCCACATTTGACAAAGGAATATATCACAGTTAAATTATTTATGTTATAAATGTATAATATTAAAATATAAGCAAAAATTTATAAATACAGAAGACATGTACAGGTATACAAGGATTTGTCACTCTGCTTCCAATTTGACAGATGAAGTAGACAATCATAAGTCATAGGCTTAGGTCAGTGGAAATGTATTTTAGACTTTGTGTCTCCATAAACAGAATAATCACCTTTTAAAGTATGCACAAGCAGTTGAAAAAGTTGATCATATACTCAGGCACAAAAAAATAATAACAGTAAATTCCTCAAAGAATATTAAAAGGCATCATGTTTTCTGACCACATCCCAAATTAATGACAAATATTCCAACAACTTAGAAATAAAAAAGCACCCAGCTTAGAAACTGTGGAACCAAGGAGGAAATGGAAAACAGTTATGAAATATTTAGAACATAAGATCACCGGTGCACTTCTGCCAGGGTTTTAGTCAGAGGTAAATTCATAGACTTTAAATGTTGTAAAAAGAAAAACTGAAAATACGAGAATATGAAGAGGAAGAAGCACAAGAAGATAGAAAAAATAATAAAGAGTAGGAAGATTCAAATGAGAAAAAGCTGTAAGATTGAAATCATTTTTTTTAAATAAAAATGAAAATTTTATTTTATAACGTCTGTGTCCTGTGAGGATGGAGCTGTGTTTTTATGTGATCATGATGCCAACAAATAAAGGCCTCCTAACGGCTGTGCCTGCAGAGGCTAATACATCAAATCCTTTCTTTGGGGGGAGGAAATTAGTTAGCAAAACCTAATCATTTATCAGAGGTATTGATAAGCAACAGTCTTTGTTGTTAGGCTACCTTATTCCATCATTTTAAGAAAATAATTATCAAGGTCTCGTTTTGCTAAAAATGTTTTGCAGTGACTGGTTGAGGGATGGAAGGTGACCAAAATTGGCTCAGTCAGAGTCCTTCAGGATTCTTTAAACAAATAGATCAAAAAGAAAAAAGTTGTTATGGAGGGAGCTACGGCCACTGTCCCCTATGGGGGAAGGTCATCTTTTTCTGAAAGAGACTGGACCCCGTGTACCGAGGAAAGCTGAAGTGCAAGACGGAGTCAGGCCCGGCCGGCTTCCGGTGTCAGGAGCCAGTCACCCCAGCACTCGCTCCGCCGCTGCCGTGGGCAGCCTCGACCGTTCCAGCCTGCCTTTCATTCTGTGAAGAACTACCCCAGGATCCTTCCAGTAAACTACCTTCTTCTCTGTTCAAGTTGGATTTCAGTTGCTTGCAACCCAAAGCACCCTAATTCAATTACTCTAAATCCTTATGAATATATTCAATTTGAAAGCAGAAAGTCCACCTGTTTTTAATAAAGTATACTTGGGGAAAGCCCTTCTCCTGTGAGACTGCTGTGCTTGATTTTTTTTTTTTTTTTTCATTATCTACGACGTGCACATTAGCTGCAGATATGGTTGGGTTAATGTCAAGTGTCTTAGCCATCAAAGAAATGAATTCACATTTTCCGCCTAAAAGTTGAATGTTGGCAGCCTTCTCGTAGGGCAGGAAAAGGAGCAGTTCGACAGCATGTGTACTTTAGAAGTCTGCCTCTTTGGGGGCTTATTCATATAAAGTTCTTTACTGAAGTCCTGAGACCTTACAACTGTTGTTAAACTTCCCCAAGTAGCTGCAAAAAAACAGCCCTTGGATGTTTTCTGTTTCAAAGAAATTTAATATGCATGTTGTCAGTCTAACAGCACACTTTTCTTTGAAAATACTTTGGGCAAATTCCCCATATTTACCCTCCTTCTGTTGAAGCATATATTTACTTTCACCCTTATTTTATCTTTTATGTGAACTATTTCAAAGAGGTTAGAGAACACTGTGATCGTCTATATACGTATCACCTAACATTGTGAAGTACAATTTATCTTTCCTAGGTTACTGTCACCCAGAGGAAAAATTAAAAATTCCATTAATATTAACAAGTAGATTTCTGAAAAAAATTTCCCGACTGCTAGGTAGCCTCACTGGATTTTTCTAATTATTTGGGGGAATTGCGGGAGGGTCGCTTTTGAACAAACACGTGGAGTCCAGGGTGCCCTGGTTCCAGCTGCTGCTTCCTGCAGAAATGTCAGCTGCCAGCAGCATTGGAAGGCACCTCACAGCTCCTGCCGCCAGCGGGGCCGCCTGCAGCTGGCACTCACTGCCCTGAAGCCCTCAGAGCTCGCCACAGGGACTAGGTGCAGGCATAGATGTTATTGATGCCCTTTTGTCATTGGGCCCCTGGGTGGGCGCCAGTGCTCTGTGTTCTCCCTGGGAGCAGGATATCTTTATCTCCTATTGAGATCAGTGGGTCCCCAAATAGTGTGGCTGTGGGTCCCCAGCAGCTCCTGGGTATTTGGTGAAACAAGCCACTGTGAGAGACCAATTGTTGTGGAACAGGGCTCCTCTCTTTCTCAGTACACATAGACCATTGGCTGACTCACTTGCCAATCCTGCAAGTCAATCTAAATCTTAGAGCAAGCATACTTTATTTTTTTAAAGATTTTATTTGTTTATTTTTAGAGGGGAAGGGAGAGAGAAAGGGAGAGAAACACCACTGTGTGGCTGCCTCTCACGTGGCCCCCACCAGGGAACCTCACCCGCAACCCAGGCATGTGCACTGACTGGGAACCGAACCAGAGACCCTTTGGTGTGCAGGTGGGCACTCAATCCACTGAGCCACACGAGCCAGGGAGAGCAAGCATACTTTAGTCCAAATTTGGTTTACTATTCTAAGGAAAGACCTCAAGGCTATCGGGTTTTTTAGGTATTACTTTGTGCACGGTAACAATTTTCATATAGACTATGGGAAAATTGCTTAGGAGAAAATGGAACTGCAGTGGTTTATGATTAATTGTACATCCATATGATTAGATACAATGTAGAATTTGCACGTAATGATTATGAAAATTATGTAGCAACGTAATTTTATATAGCAACATGGAAGCATGCTCATTATATACTTTTAAGCAGAAAAATCAGGATGTAAAATTATATATATGACAACTATTATTACGATTTTCTTGCACAAGAATAGAGACTATGACAGCAGTGTTAGAGCGAGGACCATGAGGTATATTATAATAAAGGAATTTATTTTTAGCATGTTTTTAATGCAAAG